TAGATAAAGTGGGAGAAAAATGTGAAATAAAACTCAAAATCATGAGAAAAACAAAAAGACCAGGTTTACTGGCCAGATAAGCTGGTGTGTTCCCTCAGCCTTTGGCCCTTAGTCACCCACCAAGTCTGGAACTGAACTCACTCTTGTGTCTCAATTTCCCATCAAACACTAGACAGGTCTTTGAGGGGAACCACAACACTAGGGAGGTAAACACTTCTTTGAACAATCAACCATTTGAGATCAAAGGGGCAGCATTTGCGCAGGGACAGAGGCCAGAAGGGTTAGGAAAGAAGGAGAAATGGAAACAGAAAACACAGGGAGGAAATGGGAGAAGAGATGGCAGTTATGAGTGAAACACAATATATACGGATTGCTGAACGTAAAACTGATGATCTGCTCTATAAACTGTCCCCTAATTTATAATAAAAAGTTAACTTAAAAAAAGAAAAGAAAGAAGCAAATGCATGAGTCATAGAACGATCAGTTTTGAAGAAAACTAAATCCTGGTGTGGTGCTGTAGGATAAGCACTGGACCACAGGCTTAAATGCAAGGTTGGCAGTTCAAACTCACCAGCTGCTCCTCAGAAACCCTATACAGGGTCATTGTGAGTCGGAATCCACTCAATGTCTCTTAACAACAACAACAAGGCAAAGTAAAGGGGTAGAGAAGTGGTAAGGGATGTTGTTTAAGGAGGGATAAGGGAAAGCATGTTGTTAAATGTTGTCGAGTTGGCTTCACCCGTATAGGGTTTCCAAGGAGCAGCTGGTGGACTTGAGGTCCAGTGCATTATCCTGCAGTACCATACCAGGACTCCAGGGAAATCATAGCAACATGTAATCTGCATGGAGGGGTGGGTGGTGGTTATGCATGAGGTATATCAGCTGGCAATCAAACCTTGGTCTCCCACATGGAAGGCAAGAATTCTACCAATGTCTCACTAACATTTGTATAACAAGGGTCATTTAAGAAATTAGGTTCTGTCACTTTCACGCTCCAATACACAAAGTCTCTAAAACCTCTCCATCAAATATCTAAGAAACAAGTTGGTCCTGGGAAGATTCCTGCTACCCATCTCCCCAGGTGTTCATTTGGTCCATCTTCCATGGGGTGCTGAAAAGCCAGGATTCCTGGTCAAATGCATTGGGGCTGATCTTTTAGGAGACTTTGGACTTGGAATCAAGACCACCTTGTCTGTTTCCACAGAGTTCTTACTGTCAAGGTGTACAGTGTGCTTGCTTCTCCAAAGATGACAAATATGTGTATGCAGGCTTGAAGGATCGCTCCATAATTGTCTGGAGTGTGCTGGATGGTGAGTCATTTAATTTTATTGTTGTAAAAATATAGGTAACGCATTTGCCAATTCATTGTTTGCCAATTTAATAACATCGTTTACATTAATCATGCTGTATGAACATCACCCCTAATTGTTGCCAAATTTCTCATCACCATAAACAGAAACTCACTACTTTCTAAACAGTGGCTCCCCTGATCTCCTCCCCCTCCACTCTGGTTGTTGTTGTTGTTGTTACGTGCCGTGGATTCGTTCCGACTCATAGCGACCCTGTACAGGGTTTCCGAGGCTGTAAATCTTTACTGGAGCAGAAAGCCTCATCTTTCTCCCACAGAACAGCTGGTAGTTTCGAACTGCTGACCTTGCGGTTCACAGGCCTGATTCATAACCACTACACTACCAGAGCTCATTCTCCCCTCTGGTAACCACTAATAAACTTTGGTCTCCATAAATTTACCTGTTCTTGTTATTTCATGTAGATGAGATTATACTAGATGTGTCCTTTGGTGATTGAGTTATTTTACTCAGCATAATGTTTTCAAAGTTAATACATGTTATGGCATTCATCAGGGCTTCATTTCTTTATGATTTAGTAGTATTCCATTGTATGTTGGCTTAGGCTATTGTCTGTATAGACCACATTTTGTTTATCCATTCATCTGTTGCTTTCACTGGTTTCCTCCTCTTGGCTATTGTGAAAAGTGCTACCATGAACACCAGTGTGCAGATTTTTCTTTGTGTCCCTGCCTCCATTATTTCTGGATATATAGACCTAGGAATGGGATTGCTGGGTTACATGGTAATTTTATGTTGAACTTTTTGAAGAACTCCAATCTGTTTTCCACAGCAGCGGCACCATTTTGCTTTCCCACCAACAATGGATAAGTGTTCCAATTTCTCCACATCCTTGGCAAAGCATTTGTTGTTTCTTAGTTTTTGTTTTGTTTTTAAATCTTAGCCATTTTAGTGGTAGTGAAGTGGTATCTCATTGTGATTTTGTGGTGCTGTGGGTTAATGCGCTGGTCTGCAAAGTTGGTTTGAACCACAAGGTCGGTGGTTCGAGCTCACCAGCTGCTCCTTGGAAACCCTATACTGGGTTGCTATGAATAAGAACCGACTTGAAAACACTTAACGACAACAGTGGCTAATAAGGAGATCTGGTACTGCAGACGGTTAAGTAGTGAATTGCTAACCACAAGGTCAGCGGTTCAAACCCACCATCTCCATGGAAGCAAGATGAGACTAGGATGTAGACTTCTAACCTCCTAAATGGTAAGAAAATAAATTTCTGTTTGTTAAAGACATTCCTTTGTAATATTTGTGTTATAGCAGCACAAGAGAATGAAGACTTGGCCTAAAGTAAAAGGACTCACCAAATGGCTAACAAGCACATGAAATAGCCTGTAAGTGGAGTTTGCCCCATAAAGATGTGCAGTCTTGGAAACCCTAAGAAAGTTCTACGCTGTCCTATAGTGTTGGTATGAGTCAGAATCGACTTAATGGCAGTGGAAATGGCTAATCATCCCTGGGTAGTGCTTAACAATTTGCCAAAATGTTGGTGATTCAAACTTACTCAGGGTATCTCAGAAGACAGACTTGCTGATTTCCTTTTGAAAACCACCCATTGAAAACCCTGTTGTTGTTGTTGTTGTGTGCTGTGAAGTCAGTTCCGACTCATAGCGACCCTGTACGGGGTTTCTGAGGCTGTAAATCTTTACGGGAGCAGAAAGCCTCATCTTTCTCCTGCGGAACAGCTGGTAGTTTCAAACTGCTGACCTTGCGGTTCGCAGCCCTATTCGTAACCACTACGCTCGCTACCAGAGCTCCTTGTAGATCATATAATTCTACTCCATACATGTGGGGTCGCTGCACATTGAAATCAACAAAATGGACAATGATGTGGATCATCTTTTCTTGCACTCGTAGGCTATTTCATGTACTTGTTGGCCATTTGGTGAGCCCTTTTGCTTTAGGGCATGTCTTCGTTCTCTCTTGCTGCTATAGCAGAAAAATCACACATGAATGTCTTTAACAAACAGAAATTTATTTTCTTACAGGTTAGGAGGATAGAAGTCTACATCCAAGGCACCAGCTCTAGGAAAAGGCTTTCTCTCTTTGGGAGAAGGTGCTTGTCATCTCTCGCCTTTTGTTTCCTGATTCCTTGGAGATCTTCATGTAGCTTGGCATCTATCTTTCCTCATCTCTGCTTGTTTGTTTAATCTCTCATATTTTAGTAGAGATTGACTCAAGATACAGTCCATACTAAATTGTCCTCATTAACATAACAAAGACAACTCATTTCCAAATGGGACTATAACCACAGTAATACCCATTCACTGCCATCTGGTTGATTCAAACTCATAGCAACCCTGTATATGGTTTCCAAAGTTATAAATCTTTACAGAAGCCAAAGCCTCATCTTTCTCCTTTAGGGTGGCTGGCAGATTTGAACTGCCAACCTTGCAGTTAGCAATCCAGTGTTTATCCTATAGCATTGCCAGGGGTCTTTAACCACAAGCATAGAGATTGGGATTTACAACCTATAATCTAGTACATTGAAGTCCTGGTGTGGGGCTGTATGTACCATAAGCACTCGACCTCAAGGTCAGTTTGAACTGCAAACTGGCAGTTCAAACTCACCAACCGCTCCTGGGAAACCCTATACAGAGTCACTATGGGTCAGAACAAACTCAATAGCACTTAACAAAACAACGATCCAGTACATTTTAGTAAATATGCATAGTAAAAAGTCATATTGTTGCTGTTAAGTGTCATCCTGTCATTTCTAACTCATAGTGACCCTGTATAGGTTTCCGAAGAGAAACTGGTAGTTGTGAGCTACCAACTTTGTGGTTAGCAGTCCAGTGCTTATTCAGTGCCACACCAGCAAAAAGTCATGGTGATGGTTGTGTGCTGTGGAGTCAGTTCCTACTCATAGCAACCCTGTTATAGAGTTTCCGAGGCTGTAAATCTTTATGGGAGCAGGAGTCTCATCTTTCTTCCAAAGAACAGCTGGTAGTTTCGAACTGCTGACCTTGTGGTTGGAAGTCCGACTTGTAACCACTATACTGCCAGAGCTCAGAAAAAGGAGAGCTGAGAATTGTGACCTTAAAAGCCCATCCTTGGCAGGTTCACAATATCTCTTCCTACTTCTCCCCCAATGATAAAAATATGTATTGGGCTCACTTTGGGCCAACTCTACACTAAAGATGTGACATGCATAATGTCTTTAAATCCTCAAAATTCCCATTTAAAGATAGGCTCCGATTTCATTGCCATTTTACATGTCTATGAAATAGGGCTCAAGGAGATTTATTGCCATGCTCAGTTTAGCAAAGGGAGTAACAGGGATTTGACTTCATGCAACCAATGCCAGAATGTGTGGGACTGAACCTCTGCTCTATGATTTCCTCATTGTGTCCCTCCCTCTGCCCCCACAGGCACTCTGCTAGCTGTCCAATTTGTTCATGCTGTGGTAAACAAAATCATCCCAACCTCGAATGGTTTTATTGCTCCAACCAGACATGGCTATCTCATCCGTGAGCGTTTCCAATGTCCTTCATCCAGAATCTCGCAACAGGACCCGCTCAAGAACTTCAAGAAGGCAGTGTGGCTGGTCAAATCCAGGCAGAGAGAAGAGCTGGCTAACGCAGCAGGTGCAGCCCAGGACTCAGAAAGTGCTGAGGAAAATGAATCCAAACCTAACAAACGTTCACAAGTCTGTCTAATATTGTAGAACTGCCCCCCCCATGGGGGAATGGAGCGCCAGTGAGTAAGCTGAATGTATCCCAATCTCACTGAAGCAAAGGGAATGTATTTGTTGATGTATATCTGAACCCAAGGCCTCAGATTATGTCACCCAGACCTCACCTGTCCCCATATTTTCATTACTCTTTCCTCCTTGTTGACTCCATTCTCAGACCTGTCATCTCATAAGCAATGCAGTGGCCAACATGCCATCTCTAAGTTCAGTGGAAATAAGAGCTTCCCTTTCCCAAGAGCTCTAACCAAACTCATGGCCCTGACTCTGTTGTCTCCCATTGGCTTATATGCCCATCTCTAAACCAATCAATGCCTCTTCTCTACAAGAATGTAGCACTCTAGCTACCTGGGCAGATCCAATGAACACCACTGGGGCTGAGATTGGAATCAATACCACCTAATCATGTGGACTGAAAATGGTAAGGTGTTCCCCATAGGAAAACTGGGGTGCTGGTACCATACAAAGTGAAGATGGATTCAAGGCAGACCAAAACCAGATGTGGACCACAAAACTTGATAAGCACCAGGTTCTGCCATTCGACACTCATTACAGCTCATACATTAGAGAAGGCAGGAGTTTCTGTCTCCATTTTACAGTCGAGGAAACCGAGTCATCAGGAGTAGTTGTGATTTTCTTAAGATCACACTATGAGCCCTAAGAAATGTGAATAGGAAATCTCTGTCCCAGTTCTTGCTGGATGCCCTCACTTCAATTTTTGTCTCAGAAGCACAGCCACCCTTTTTGTGGGTGGCAGATGCAAACACTTAGGTGCCAGTAAATAATCTGGATAATTGGATCCCAGATAAAAAGTTAGGAGTGATGGAGCCTTGGGGATGTGGGGAACTTATGTGGACAGGGATGGCCACAACCCAGCTTCAGCCCAGGTTCCTGTGGGGAGAACAGATCACTGTAGCCAGCTAACCCTATTGTCTTAATCAAATCTGGAAGTCCAGATTTTCATGTGAGATGTTCCCATTTTTAAAAGTTGGTGATTTGCTCAGATTTACATCTTCAGGTACATTGGACCTATGTATTTCTAGGTCATGATTCAACCTCAAGACCCAAGATGGAAAAAGTGCTGTTCATGTAGTCCTACTCCCAAAACTTTAGAACGAAGATGTTTTCTATCTTTAAAACTGGAGGCTATTGGAAGCAGATGGAAAGGGCTTCTGTGTCTTTCTGCATTGCTTTTGAACATCCTGCCTCTTGCAAATCCAACCATCAATCAAACTTTTTCCATTCCTCTTAAATGGTTCTTCCTTCCTTGCCCACAGCCTTCTAGAGCCCAACTTGCTTCAGGGGACTTCTGTTCTAACAATAAAAAAAGTCCTAACCTTCAAGGTGCTATTTGCTCTCCCCACTTCCTTTGGATTCCAGACAGTTTCAGAAAATCACAGTAGGCAGTACCCTACTGATGATTTTGTTAAGTAGTTTTCCAAACCAGGGCTCTAAGAAATGCTTTGGCAGTTGCGTAAATGTTAACTCCAGATTCCATTTAAAATATATATATATTTTAAAACTGTGATTGTAAGCTGCAGGCTCAGATGCATTGAGCAGCAGCTTTTAATGTGCTGGAGCATGATTTGCATAGCTTAGGTTACACGGGGAATCCTTGAAAATAATTGCTTCTCTCTGCCACCACTTCTCTGTGAATCAAGGGCTTACCCAACACAGAAGAAAGTGAATGCTGTAACAGACTAAGAATTCATTGACAATTTCTGCCTGAAAGTATGTGTGTGTCCACCAAAGGGGTCTCAGTGAGAATCAGCTGCTTTGTATGTAAATAGTAATTTGAACATAGGAAAGACATTTTTACTAATAAAAGGCTACACGGAATTGTTGCATGTTTTTTTATTTCTTCAGGTATCATTTTTATTTCTTCCTTGGTGTTGTGTAGGTGCTATCAAGTCCGTTCCAAGTCATAGCAACCCTACACACAACAGAAGGAAACACTGCCGGGTCCTGAGTCACCCTCACAATTCTTACGTTTCAGTCCAACTCTGCTGCCACTGTGTCAACCCATCTCCTTGGGGGGCCTTCCTCTGTTTCTACTGATTTCTCCACTTTATCCTTCACTTTATCAAGCACAATGTCCTTCTTTTTTTTACTGTGGCAAAAATATACATAACAAAACATTCCCTGTCTCAACAATTTATACATATATTACCCAGTGATACGAATTACATTCTTCAAATTGTGCGACCAGGCTCATTATACTTTTCCAAATCATCCCACCATAAACATATACTCAGTGGCCCCTAAGCAAAACCCTTACCTTCTTTAAATAGAAAATTTTCCCATTTAGATGGAAATACCCACCATACCATGGAGCCTTCCTCTGTAACAACCAATCAGCCATTATCTTATCTAGTGGTCTTACCTCTTAGCTCTTTCTCTCCACTAGGTCTAAGTCTGCTACATTGGGGAATTAACTGCAGAGAACATTCAAAACATCCGATTGAAAAATCATCAAAACTTAAAGAAATTGAAGCATGAGTTTTATTCCAAGCAGTCATTCTTTATACATGCTGGGAGATAATTTTGTTTCTGAGAGCAAATGGCTCACAGTAGGCCAGTTACAATTGTTAAAAAGAAACCTTTGAATTAGCTCAAAGCAGTAACACAACGTTTTATTATTTATTTACTGACTCAAAACAACAGATGTATTCTCTCACAGTTATGGACGTCAGACATCAGGGTGTCAACCATGTTGATTTCTTCTGAAGGCTCTGGGGAAGAAACTGTTCATTCTTTCCCACTAGTGTCTGGTATTGCTGGCAGGCCTTGGAATACGTTGGCTTAAAGACACATCATTCCAACCTCTGCTTTCATCTTCACAGGACAGCCTCCTTGTGTTCTTCTTTTTCTTTTTATTCCCCTAGGCTTTTTATTATAAATTGGATGAGGATTTACAGTGCAGATCATCAGTTTTGCACTTAACAATTCATACACTTTTTGTTTCATCTGATTGATTATTATCTGCTCAGTGGGACATTGCTTATCCCACTTCCTGTTTCCATTTCTCCTTCCTTCCTAATCTTTCTGAACTTTGTCCTTGGGTAAATGCTGCCCTTTTCTCAAATGGTTGATTATTCTAAGGTGTTACAGTGTGTGAAGTGCAATCAGTGACATGAAACTAGGTGTATGGTTACATCTAAGAAGTCTCAAATCTCCTGCACAAAACCATTTTAAAGTGTTGAAAAGATGTCAGCTTGAGGACTAAGGTGCACTTGACCCAAGCCATGGTATTTTCAATAACCTCATATGCATGTGAAAGCTGGACAGTGAATAAGGAAGACCGTAGAAGAATTGATGCATTTGAGTTATGGTGTTAGAGGAGAATATTGAAAGTGCCATGAGCTTCCAAAAGAATCAATAGATCCGTGTTGGAAGAAGTGCAGCCAGAGTGCTCCTTGGAGGCCAGCATGGCCAAACTTCATCTTTCATACTTCGGACATATTGTCAGGAGGGACCAGTCGCTGGAGAAGGATATCATGTTTGGTAAGGTGAAGGGTCAGAGAAAAAGAGAAAGACCCCCAGCGAGATAGATTGGCCAAGTGGCAGCATCAATGGACTCAAGCATGGCAACAGCAGTGAGGTTGTCCCAGGATCGGGCAGTGTTTCGTTCCACTGTGCATACGGTCGCTATGAGTTGGTACCGACTCGATGGCACCTAACAACAACAACAACAAGAAGTCTTCATAACTTTGCCCCATCTGCTCCATCACATTCATGGATTTGTTTGTAGCAAAGGTAGATGATGGAGGTAGTTATGTGCCCTGGAGTCAGTTCCAACTCATAACAACCCTGTATAGGGTTTCCAAGGCTGGAAGTCTTTATGGGAGCAAAAAGCCTCATCTTTCTCTTGCAGAGTGACTGTTAGATTCAAAAGGCTGACCTTGCAGTTAACAACCCAATGTGTAACCCATTACACTACCAGGACTCCTTACAAAGATAAATAGCCATATGCAAATATCTTGCGTCCAACCTATATATATTTGTGGGTACACTCCCACATTTGTTCAGCCTGCATCTACTGTGTTGTTGTGAAGTGCCATCGAGTCATCTATCCTAGATTACTGTTATTGCAGGATTGTGTGTATAGCAGTATTTACCTCTGTTACCTTTAACTCTTGCACTCTCCCCCATGTCTTCTCCTGCCTCTAGCACTTTTCCCCCACCCTCTTATTTTTGGTTGCCTTCCCCTTAATTGGTTAAAACAATCTATTCTATCTTGAAATCTACTTGACTTCCTTCCCATTTGGAAGCTCTGTAAATACACTATTCCTTCTCTTTACTTTGTAATTATCATTACAAATTGATACCTCTGGTTCCTCATTTTCAGGCTTGTAGGTTTGTATTACCTTGAATACTTCTATATTTGGACTCTTGGTGTGGTGTTACTGGGCTGCAAAGTTGGTTTGATCTGCAAGGTCAGTGGTTCAAGCTCACTAGCTGCTCCTTGAAAACCCTAGACAGGGTTGCTATGAGTTGGAACTGACTCTATGGCACTTAACAATAACAATATATCTGGGTTGATTTCTGGGTGGTGTTGTCATGTTTGGTAATCCCACATCTGCTATTGTTGGTTCTCTGTCCAAAGAATTGGTTCTCTGTCCAAAGAACTACCTTTAGTGTTTTTTGTAAAGTTGGTTTAGTTTTTACAAACTAATTTCTGTTTATCTGGAAATGTCCTGATTTCACCATCATATTTGAGGGACAATTTTGCTGGGTATATACGAGCCTTGGTTGGCAATTTTTTTCTTTCAGAATTTTATAGATGTCATTGCATTGCCTTCTTGCCTGCATGGTTTTTGCTAAGAAATCAAAGTTCAGTCTTATTGGTTCTCCTGAGTCAGTAACTTTTTGGTTTTCCTGAGCTGTTTTCAGGACTCTACTTGTCTTTGGTTATTGAAAGTTTAATTATAACATGTCTTGGTGATTTTCTTTTGGGATCTATCCTGTTTGGGGTT